TCATTTGATTATTAGGGTTCAAACATCAGAAATGCAGGGGCTAGGGAGATGCCCCGTGGCTAAGAACACTTGCTGCTCTTCTAGAGGACCCAAGTTTAGTTCCCAGCACCCACATCTGACAGCTCACAACTCCATGTAAGTCTAGCTCCAGGGGATCCGGTGCCCTCTTCTGGCCTCCATGGGTACCACACACAGAGGTGGTATACACACAGACAAATGTGTGTGCATATTACCTTTCATGTGCTAATATCAATGGGAGGCTAAGCTCACGAATATAAGGGCTTACACCCCTGGCTGCAGTACAGCAGTGAGTTCTGGTGCTGGAGCTCATGAAAGGACAGGACAAAAGCTCCAAGCAATTCTTAACAGGTAGAAGGCTCAGGACTGCACCATGCTGGGTCTCCTCCATAGAGACCGAAGCTGCTTCTGAGGTAGAGCCCGGAGGTGTATGAAGCCAAGGTGGAGGAGACAGCGGGCTGATCAGTTTTGAATGTTCTGACTCCTAGCTTAGCCAGACTGCCTGTGGGATCCATGTGAAGGGCAGAAAACATGCGTTAAGGGCCAGAAAGATGGCTACTCAAACGTGAAGGCCTGTGTTCAATCCTTAGCACCCACAGGGCAGACGGAGAGAGCTGACTCCTTCAAGTTGTCATCTGACCTCCACATGTGCCCCATGGCTCATCACCCACAGCCCTGCAATAAACACACATGTAATAAAATTTCTTAGAAAGAAAGTTCAGGGCAGTGGTGGCACACACCTTTAATCCCAGTGCTTGGGAGACAGAGGCAGGCAGATCTCTGTGTTCGAGGTCAGCATGGTCTACAGAGCTAGTTCTAGGACAGCCAAGGCTATGCAAAGAAACCCCGTCTGCAAAAAACAAACACATTAAAAATAAAGAAAGCGGCTTTGAAGGCCTGTCTGTGTTACAAGTAGCTTTCCCACAAGCCTGGTCCCTTGTCCCCCACCAACCCCACACCCCACACCTATGCCCCCTACCTCTCCTCTGGGATGGAGAAAGTAATTATTTTTCAAGGATAACCAAGACTGGGGAGGTAAAAATGCTTGGAGCTGTTCTTGGCACAAGTGAGCATCCAGTCATGATAGCGAGCATTTCAATTTGCATAATGATCTAGAAAGCAGTCTAAGACTTATCAAAGTACCTGTTAGTATAAAATAATGGTCACAGAATGCCATCATTTGTGGGAGGAGGAGCTGACAAATCTAGATAAGATATATACCTACATATATCTGTAAAGAAGAATGCCCAAGAAATTGTTAGTTGTGGTTGTTTCTGAAGAAACTGGTCCGACAGGCGGGGAAGATGGCTCAATGGGCAAAGGCATGGCTGTGTTAGCCTGACAGCTAGTTTCCTCCTAGAACCCACGTAGAAGGGAGAACTGACTCCCCAAGCCAACTCGCCAGCCCCATGAGTCTTCACTTAGATTAACATGACTGAAAGCTCCTTTACTCTAATACACCTAGGGGTTGGAGACCCTGTGGAGGAAACTCTCAGACAGTCATCGTCAAGACAGCCAAGGTGGATCACAAAGTCTCTCTGTAAATACAAGTTCCATTAGCCACCAGCCCAGGTACAAATTACCGATATTTTTTGGCTCCTCTTGGTCCTACTGCTCACATCCGACCTGTGAACAAACCCAACTTTTGGTTCTACATTTAATATGCACACCCACAAGCTACTCAAGCCAGGTAGGTGTGCTGGCGCAGTCCTAGCACTTGGGAGCCTAAGGAAGAGGCTTACCTCCAAATCCAAGGGCACCCTGGGCTACAGAGTGAAACACACCTCCCCACCCCCCCCACCTCCCCAACACCCCACCCCCCGCTTTGAAAAACGAAACAGGAAGGGCCAGCAAGATGGCTCAGTGAATAAAGGCACTGGCTACAAGAGTTTGATCCCTAGAATCCATGTGGGAAGGGGAAAGGATACTTCTGCAAGTTGTACACACACACACACACACAGAGAGAGAGAGAGACAGAGACAGAGCGAGACAGAGAGAAAGAGAAAGAGAGATCAGACAAAGAACCTCACAAAACTATCCTCTTCATTTCCTTGTACAGAAATCTCCAGCCCCAAGACTGCAAATGTCCCATAGCTGAGCCATGCTCCTATCACTGTGCACAATAGTCAGGACAGTGACTGTGTACAACGTAAAACCAACCATGCTTCTCCAAGTCAAAGCACTCAACAGTTTTCCATCTCGTGTAGAATAAAATCCGAAGTGTCCCATTTGCGGTCACTCATCTTCCAGGGTACAGAGCCTCCTGGTCTCTCTGCCCTGCTTACTGTTAATGGAGCCTGTGAGGCATGAGTCTGGCCCACTCTTACCCTTTTTTTCTACGTGGCTAAAAATGTATGTCTTCTTTATAATGAAAAAGTTCTCTGCTGAGATAAATCCATATAAAAATGGCTATCTCCAGCCACTTAAAAAACAAAACACAAAACGAAAGGGCCAGAGAGATGACTCAGCTGTTAAGAGCACAGGCTGCTCTTTCAGAGGGACTGAGTTCAATTCCCAGCAACCACATGGTGGCTCACAACCATCTGCAATGAGATCTGGTGCCTTTTTCTGGCATGCAGACACACATGCAGGCAGAATGCTGTATACAATAAATATCTTTTAAATACAATCAACCAACCAAACAAACAAACAAAAACTAGCAACTTTCCAGCCTTCTCTGCCTTGTACCTGCTCAATTTTTTTCTTCAGTGTACTCCCTGCATTGTAATTTTTTAACCTGATAACTACCTGTCCAGAATGTTCGCTGGAAGGAAACTTTTTCTTTACTGTTGGATTTCACTTAAAACAGTGTCTGCTACAATGTGAGGGATCAAATGAATATAGGGTAATTAATAAGGCAAATGGATAAAGAAATAAACAGCTTTCTCAAGATAAGTTTTGAGTTCATATCTGGTCTACTGTGTGTGACAAACAACAGAATGTTTCTCAAGGTGAGCACTAAACAGGGATGTTATAATAACACTGGGTATCAAAGCCACCTTACCCAGTTTGGACAGTCTTCTCCCCTAATTCACTAGCCACCCCTCTCCTATCCCCCGCCGCAAAGGATGCCAATCCACTTTATCTGAATTTAGCTTTTCTAAGAATGTTTGAAGAGGTTGCAAGGCCTTGTCAATTACACCCATGAAGAAGTGTACGTTACTTATTTCACAACACAAGCAAACATCCGCAGTTTTGTCTTGGTATGTAGCCTGATAGCACAGGACAACAATCTGATATGTTAAAGTTATGATCTCCTGTTGGCTAAATTCAGTTAGTAAAAGGAAGCAAATTGAGACACTGCAGATGGAAACCAAAGTAAGCTGAGGCCCGACACATACACTGGCGTTTTACTTTATATTTGCATTATTTGCAGACAAAGACTTAGGTTTCATTCTGTCATTTCTTTCTATTTGTTTCAGTCATTTCTCTTCCCACTCTCCCCTCCCTTGTCCCCTCTTCCCCTCTCCTCCCTCCCCCTCCCTTCCCTCTCTCCCCTCCCCCTCCCCCGTCCCCTCCTCGACCCCTCTCCCCCTCCTCTGTCCCCCTCCCCCGCCCCTCCTCCCCCCTTCTCCTGTCCCCCCTCCCAGTCTCCCTCCCTTCCTTTCTCCCTTGTATCCTCTGACTTCCAGTCACCCCTTTCCACTTCCATGTTACATGTCACCTTTTACCTTCTCCTGTGCAATTTGTTCACTAACGATATGCTACCTGAAGTTTGAGAAAGATTACCTAATGTACCCTGAGCACTATTCATTGGGAGTTATTATATTCACTTTCTTTCTGATATATGGGATGAAAAAAAAATACAGACAGAAACGAGTACCGGATCAGAAATTTTACATTAAGTTTGATTATTTTAGCATTTAGGAAAAGTACAAATGTCATCACAACAGCCAAAGGTAGTTTGTGTATGTAGAGGGGTATAGTCCAATGGTAGGACACTTGCCTGACATGCATAAGGCTCTGTCACACACACACACACACACACACACACACGCGCGCGCACACACCACTTAGCCATAAAGAAAAATGTAATCAGGCTGTGCATGGTGGTGCACGCTTTTATCTCCAGCACATGAGAAGCAGAGGCAGGAGGATCAGGAGTTCAAGATTACCCTCAGTTTCATTAGTAGTTCAAAACCATCCTGTCTCAAAAAATAAAAAGAGAGTGAGAGTGAGAGAGAGAATATGAGTAACAAAGAGAACAAAATTTGGTTTAAAAAGAATGGAAATAGAAATAATCGCGTTAAACCAGACTTACAAAAGTAAGAAATGGCATGTTTTCAATTGTGTTGAATCTAGTTTTAAAATATGTATGCATATGAATACAGAGCCTAATAGTGAAAAGAAACGACTTGGAAAGAGGGAGGGATCAACTGGAAGTAAGACAAAGAGTGAATATTAGCAGAATACGCGGTACACTCACATGAAAATGTCACAATGAAGCCCTATTACACTGCTGGATGAACATATTCCATTAAAAAATCAAAACGTCATTTAGATTTTGGACTGGGGTGTACTTCAGTGGTACAGTGTGTGCTTACATGTTCATGGCTCTGGGTTTCATTCCTCAAACACGCACACACCCTAAATATTTAGGCTTTACAAATGAACACCAATAACCAAACTTTATTCGTGACTCCCCAGGCCTTTGGGTTTATTTCAGACCAGACCACCCGAGGCTTCAAAGCGAACATGAAAACCCGAGACGCTACAGTCAATGAAGTATGATTAACTAAGCGTTCCTGCAAAGGTCCTCAAGAGAGAGGCAAATCCCTCATCAAGTACTCGAGCCGAGAATCACTTCAGTAAGCAGACAGCAGACATACAGTTTGTTTTCTATAGGCAACTTCCGCCTCCCAGGGTCACCGATGGCCCCGCGTGGGTGGATAAGCGTCCACTGCCGCGCAATTTCCCCAACTGCTCACAGCAGCACAGTCGGACAGACGTGGACCGCATGGAGGGGTGGCAGCGAGTCCTACCTGGATCAGCCCGCGCTGGTACAAGGCGCTGTGCACGCAGCCGGGGACAGTCCCCGGTAGCTCCAGGGAGCCGTTCCCGTTGCTCACCCACCAGCTCCCCCGCAAGCTGTGGCTGGGACCCGCCACCACGCAGCCCGCCCCGCTCAGCGCCAACAGCGTCAGCAGGTAGAGATGCATGCTGAACGCTAGCAGCAGGAACCCGGCAGTGTCGCCCCAGCCCTAGCCAAGGCTTGGTCGCTCTGTCCCCGCCCAGAGCCCCGGACCCGCCCCCAGGTCAGCTGAGCGCCTCCCGCAGCCACGCAGGGAAGGAATGCAGCGGGGACCGCCACCCGGGTGTAGGCAGGGCTCAGGGCCAGGGTTGTTGCTGCCAGCGTGCTCCTGCAGCTCGGCCGATACTGTAAGAGGGTCGATACTGTAAGAGGGACAGTAAAGTGACAGACGAGCCTGCAGAGCCAAGCCTGACCATTTGGGGGGGATCGCAGGTGCACGGGGGGGGGGGGGGGGGGAGACCTCCCTCCACTCCTGGCCGGAAGGTATCACAGACCTGGTCCCAGCAGGTCTGCCAGGCTGAACGCCCCCTCGATGACCCTGCTAGGTCTAAACAGTGCTACCTATAAGCTCTGGGTCACTGAAAGTTTCCATATGCGGAGTTCCTTCTGGGGTTCTGGGAACTTGCATGAGTGCTAGATAGAGGTGAGTCTGAAATCCCTCCCCTCCCCCGCTCTCCCCTCCCCTCCCCAACCCCCGCTGTTGTAGGATTAGGCAAGCAACAGAATTCCCGCTTCCTGAATTTAACAAAATGCAGACACTTGTTTCAGAAGCACAGCCCGGGTTCTTCTCCTTTTAAGCAGACAAAATACCCCACGTTTATTTACTTATAGATTTCATGGAGGGGTGGGAGGGGGTTTCCTGCCTCAGCATGCATGCGGAAGTCAGAGAACTTACTGGAGAGGTCGTCTTCCACCACATGGATCCCAGGGACAGAATCAAGAGTGTCCGATTTGGAGGCATTCTCCTGTAACTGCTGAGCCTTCTCTTGAGTTCTTGGGTGCTTTTCGACCTCCTCTCAGGTGAAGCCAGAACCTTACACCACAGGGAAGAATTTCAGGAAGCCAGTATGAAGCAAAACTTGGATATTATCAAGAAAATATCTTCTATAGCTTAAGTAAGGGCTTTGGAAGAAACTTAAGAAGGCACAATGAGGGGCTTCAGACTTCTCAAGATGGAAAGCAAGCCTAGCTTTTGAAGTTGGTGTTTCCTGTGGTTTTGAAGTAGCACTGTTTAAAGGAAAGATTAAGGGAGGTGCAGGTGTGGGTTGTGGCTTGCAACTGTAACTCCAATAATCAATAAACTGAGGTACAAGGATAGCCTTTAGTTTGAGGCTAGCCTGGGCTACAGAGTAAGTTCTAGGTCACTGTGGCCTAGAGTCAAATGTTGCCTCAAAACAAAAAGAAGTTAAGATGCACTAGTATGCTTATTTTTATCCAAAGGATTTTTCTTCAATAAATGAGGTTATAAGGTTGTTGGAATGTTGTATGCAGGGTCACAGGCTTATAAAATGGGGCTGTGAGATGGCTCACTGGGTTATGGCGCTTGCCACCAAGCCTGAAGACCTGAGTTCAATCCCTGGGACCACGTGGGATAGGTAACTCAAAGGACACTCCTGGCCTAAGGGTTCCTCTTCCTTCCATGCCCCCTTAGCTTTCCCTGCCCATTATGTCTCATAAATACGTATGCTGGCTCCCTTCTGCCACCAGGTTTGTTGCTACACTGAGCTCTCCAAGTTCAGACAGAGGGAATCCACACTGTGAAAAGTATTTTTACACTGTTTGTGTTATTGCAAGCTCTCCTCTCAGCAAAATCAGTCTTCATTCCTCCTCCACTCTGCTCCAGTATCATCTGACCCTGTTAGCACGCTGTCACATTTCATGTCGCAGAACTGGCATTTTAACTTAGGAACACTGAGGTTCCCAGCCCCATCCCACAGACCTCAGCTGAGAGATTTGAACCCAAAGAAGCCAGTTGGCATACCTGTCACACCGTAGCAGGCAAGACCAGAGCCCTCTCTGCTCTCCTGGCTGCTACTCGCCTGTGAGTAGATCCTACTCTTATTCCACAGTAAAGGCTCTAGCTGGTTCAAACCTTCCAAATCTCAAGGGCAAACTTCCCTTTGACATGACTAGCACTCTCAGTTCAAATAAGATGCCATGTTTTGTGGCATTAAATGGCCAGCTGTGGTCTGTACAACACTCCACAGCAGAGTTTTTGACAAGATTGGTAAAGGATTTTTGCATAAATCTTGGACATGCCATGAATCCAAATCAAAGGGAAATTGATCTGAGCCAAACTGTGGATAGCATCTGCTTTCTACTATATATTTAAGAGGAATTGTTTTCTTGGAAAAAGAAAAGAGATATTGTAACCTTCCCACATGTCACACTTAGGTCATTGTACTTTGATCACAATGTCCATAAAGAGCCAACTCCATGCAAAAATGCTCTTATCTTAGTACAACTAGGATTGGCCCACAGGAGGATGGAGTTCGTCTCTTATAGGCTCATTATTTTTCATAATTACTTTGAGAAATAGACCTTATTTGATCATAAAGCATCTTGACAATGCAATTTAAAATTGTAATAGCAAATGCAGTTTTAACAACAGTCATTAGTACCTGTTAATGTACATGACATGAAAATATTCCATTTTTACCATCTCATTTGATGCCTTCCAAAATTTCAGTTATGTAAGACAAATAATAGTTCTGATTTAAAGGGATAAATACGTTTTCCAGATGTGAAGTTCATAGGATCAACATCTCATCAGACCATGTCATAAAGGCTCTTTGGCCCTTTGTCATGTAAAATGATTTCCTTCATGTCCAAATATATTAAATGACTAAATACAGAATTTTGTGGTGTAACAAGGACAAAGATGTTCCAATTCCATGTGATAATTATAAAACTAGCAAGAGAAAGGAAACTGGTGGGCTGCATTGACACGTAAACGTGCCTGCTGCCAAACCTGATGTCTTGAGTTCAATTCCTGGGACCAACATAATGGAAGGAAAGACCCAACACTCACAGCTTGTTCCTGATCTCCACTTGTGCACTGTGAAAAACAACCCCTACACACACACACACACACAAAACCACACACACATATGTAAAAATATTTTAAGTTATATGAAAAATAAGAGTGAAAATATAATGGTATATCAAGTGGACATTCTCCTTTAGCTTTAGTGTCTGCTTTTTGTCATGTAGGCCACAGAGGTTTCTCTAAAGGTTTCAGTGACTAGTTTTTTGTACTGGGGATTGAACATAGGGTCTTCAACCTGCTACACAAGCACTTTACTTGTGTAGCACTCATAGGTCTTACTTATCAGGAAATGGCCAACCTAGTGCTTGTACTCTGAGTCTCACCATGACATGACATGAAGTCTTAAATAGAAAGGTTAATTGTGACTGGCTACAACCTGTGACAGAGGTAGGAGGATCAGGAGTTCAGGACCATTCTTGTCTACATAGGGATCTTGAAGCCAGCCTGTGCTATGTGAAACCTGTTTCCAAAATTGCTAAGCTGGAGAGTTGTCTAAGTGGATAAGAGCATTTGTTCTTGCAGAGGACCTGGGTTCAATTTCCAGCATCCACATGGGTGCTCATAACCACCTGTAACTGTAGTCCCAGGGTATCCAAGGCCCTCTTAAGACCTCCAAGGGCATCAGAAGTGCATGGACTTTACATACATACCACACAGGCCGAGACATACATTCACATTAAATAATAAAATAGAATTTAAAGTAGTAATAGCAGGACAAGTAAGTCTGTAGATCTAAATGACAGATTTAGCTCCTACAATGTTGTAGGAACATTGGGGAATGCTCCAATAGAACTTCTTACAGAGGTTAGTAACAGAAAAAAGAGTTTGGAAACTCTGCAACTGTGGAAATCCCTAAACTCATCAAGAATGAGGAGGGAGAGAGAGAGAGAGAGAGAGAGAGAGAGAGAGAGAGAAAGAGAAAGGCTTGCCTACAGGCCCATTGTGGGATATTTCTATACTGTGTGAAGGTGCATTTCTGAGACGGTGAAATAGAAAGTTGAATGGCCAATAGCTAGGCAGAAGGTATATAGACAGGACTTCCAGGTAGAGAAAGGTAATAGGAGGAGAAACCTATGTGTGCAAGAGACACCAAGAGACATAGAGAGGAAACAGGAGGTATGAGATGAAAGGTAACACCACATGATAGACTGTAGATTAATATAAATGGGTTAATTTAAGTTATAAGAGCTAGTTAGGAACAAGCCTAAGCTCTAGGCCAAGTTTTCCTAATGAATTAGAAGTCTCTGTGTCATTATTTGGGAGCTGGCTGGTGGAACAGAAAAAGACTTGCTACAAATGGCAACCAATAATGGGGCTCAAATATCCACACACAGCCCAAGAAAGAAGTCTCTTGGGTAGGCTCAGCGTACAAAGGTAGGCTCTTTTAAGAGACCCTGCTGTACATCTGATATAGGATCAGGCAAAACTAATGCCATTTTAGACTAGACACCATCTTGAGAAGCTCCTGACAGGACCCTGAACCCAGTTCCAGGAAAAACCACGAACGGCTAAAACTTGTTTCAGGGCCCACATCCCATTGAGTCAGTCAGTTGCAGGACTAACAGACAGTTTATCGTGGTCACTAGATGTCCTAATGGAAATTTCCAAATGCTCGCTTAACTCCAGGGCCAGTCAACCAAAGAGGCATCGCCTACTCCAATCAGATAATGCCAAGACATGTGCCTCCTTCAGCTTGTGGTTTTCCTTTATAAGCCCTCTCTCGGGACACTCATTTCACCTATTGTGTCAGAATGCAGCCGGACAGCCCAAACTCGAGTTTATTTTCAATAAACCCGTGTTCCAGGGTCCTGTGACCTGGGCATAACATTTGGGGGCTCGTCCGGGATCCCCCCCACAACCCCTAGGACCCAGGCTGAGGGGTTCTTGACCAGCTGGCTAAGTCTTTTTATCTTTGTCTCTGCAATTGTCCTGTGTTCTTACTTTCATCTTCAAAAAAAGTGTGCTAAATCTGTAATGTGGTATAGAAACGGTTGATGTTTGAGACAGCCAGTGGACACGCTGGAGGACCAGGATCACTGGGGTCCATGAGACATTCTGGACCCTTGGGAAGGGGACGA